GTTGATGAAGAAGTTCCCATTCTGAAGGGCCCTCAAGAGGGAAGTATTACAAAAAGCGGAAGCAATCAAGCTAAAAATGATGACGGTTTTGAATTAACAAACATTTATCCGGTCAGAGATAAAATCTTTAAAAGTAGCACACAACCTCTTCTTGATCTTCAATTGCTATTTAGGGGTCAGAAAGTTATCAAAGTTGACGGCACCGAATATTTAGTGGATAACGTTAACAGAAAAGAACTTGCAGCTTATACTTTTGAATATGAAAATGGAAAAATTATCAGTGTAAGACCTGCTGGTTTTGTTTATTACAACAAAGAATTAGGAATTTGGCGAAAAATTGGGCTCGAAGGAGGAGCAGGAGACGAATTAGTTCCGAAAAAAATGGCAAGATACGAACAAATTCCAATGAAAGGTATCAAAATTAGAAATGAGGGCAACAGCATTGTAAGCAGCCAGAAAGAATTTTTATACCAACATGAGTATAACCCAAGCGATCTATATTTTATTGAAAACTCCAAAAAAGAGACAAAAATGGTTTATTACGACATGGATAATAACTGTTGGAGATATAGAAATAAGCAGGGAGATTCAGGTTATTTGGTACTCGCGTTAAACAACAAATGGGAAGAGATAACTCCTGAAATAACAGTAGTTATTCCTGACAAAAGTTTTCAAGAAAGCTTCCCAGTTCTCCCCGAACAATGAGAGCAAAAAGTTAGTGAGGTGTTTGAATCCGACAAAGAAGGCCCTACTACACAAGTTCATGGAATAGTTTTTAAAAATGGTAGGTATTCCGTTATGATTGAAAACGTTTATATACCTGTGACCTACAATATAGAAAAAGGTTACTGGCGTAGGGTTCGCGGATCGCAACCTCTTGGATTGACTACAGAAAAAAGATGGGTCGAACTTGAAGATTCTAGCAGTTATCCCCATATTAAAAATATATTTATTACACATGAGGATTACTACCGTTTTATCCCTGACATTACGTTAAGCGAAAATACCAAGGAACTCCCCATGGTATTGAATTTTGTTTTGACAGGAGAAGTTCCTGATAAATTTTTGGACCGTCTTAAAGTTTTTAAAAAGGCTTTTGATGAGTCGCTCATTGCCGAGGACCGTATATTTATATTTACGGCTGGGCAAAAAGCCACCACTGACCTTTTTGAAAAAGCCGAAGAGTCTATTATGTGCCTAAAAATTATTGATTACAACTTAATGGATGGGTTGCCCGAATTTATAGAGGGTATCTCGCAGTACAATAGTCCCCATCAATCTGACCTCTACTCTTTACTCATACGCCTAAAATTAAGCCAACAGTATCGAGGAATTTTTCTTACTCCCGATAACGCTCTACCGATAAGTATATTTAGAGAAAAGCTTGTGGTTGACGAAACAGGGGTGTTATTGCAAACTCCCATTTATAAAGATAGCATTAATCAATACGTATACCCAGGCAACATTTTTGCCTCGCTGGGCACTGAAGGGAAGACAACCTTACTCCTGGATCATTTTTTAAGTAATTTAAAAGCTATCACAAGTGCTGATTCAAACATAGGAGAGTATGAGAGTATCTTCACTGAAAGCGTGAATTATGTATTGCTTGATTATGGCGAGTATTTAAACTACTACAAGTCAGCTAACGAACTTAACGGGGACCTTTATCAGTTGAGATATTCAGGTATAAAATTTACTGATAATCTAAATAATTATTACGGGCAACTAAACCAGTTATTAACGAAAAATAGTGATAAAACCTGGTATACAGCTTTGAAAGATAACCTTAACCCGTCTATTTCTCTAATGGATGATCCTGAGAGTAGTTTTTTAATGCAAAAATTCAACGTAGAAATTGTTAAAGTTAATAATGAAATGCGACTTATGTACCCTACTAACGGTGATATTAGAGAACTCTACTCCTTTAGAGAAGAAGGTAGCTTTCAAGAACCTTTCAAGACCGGGCAACTTGTATATTTAGATAAAACCGGTGTAATTGAAGTCCAGGAGGCGAAGGAGTCAGAACTGTTGCTTGATAACAATTTGAATTATCATCCTCCCGTAGAACTGGTGATCCCAATCGACGGAGTTTCCGTTAATTCGGATCAATGGGGAAAAGAATGCTTTATTATTCTTGGCAGTCGACTACGAAAGGTTTATTATGACGTTGAGTTAAAGTGCTGGGGTTGGTTTAATGATAAATATTGGAATAACAGAAAGTTAAAGCAATTAGTAGTTTATGACGGAAGAAATTTTAAGCCATCTGATCAAGTACAGAACATTCCTACTCTCGTGGTAAATACAGAAAGGCTTACCCTTCCGATAGTACCTAAAGTGCCATATCACGCTATAAAACTCCCAAAAAAAATTCATTTTTTTGTTCAGGACATAGATATCGAACCTTATTTGGAAAGATACAAAAATTTCTTAGGTATAATCGTTCATTATGACATAGATCAAGCACTCATGCCTGTTTTTACTCGTATCATCCAAAGACAGGTTACCTTTGTATGGAACAATGTAAAGGAGGACACAAGTTTTTTTACTTTCTTTCACCAAAGTGAACTAGGTAAATATTACGAGGCTGCAAGAACAAGTAAATATTTGGACGTTGCTCACGACATAATGCGATATCAAATAATTAAAGAAAAGGGGGGTATCTTCGCGCCTTATAGGAATGTTTTACTCAGGCCTTTACTTAGTACATTAAAGTTAACAAAAGATGGCATTTTACTTCAGTATCCTAAAAAAAGGATGATAGGTAATTCTTATAAGTATGTATTATCTAACGAGATATTTGCAAGTCATATAAACAACCCATTTTTTTCTAAGTTAAATGAAAACATTGTAAACACTTTAAAAGAAAACGACGGATATTTTGCGAAGATTTTAAATGGTAAATTTTTAGGTGCAGCCCTTTTTCCTAGAAGCGAAATTACGGGCTCTCTGGCTTTTCACAGGGTAGTTACCGAAAATATTCCAGAATATAAAGCCTTAATTAATTATTTAAATGAAGAAAAAACGTTCTTCGTGTTTTATAGAGAGTTAGAGGTGGCGAAAAATTATTTCTTTCCTTTTCCAACCGCTTAGAAAGTAAAAAATGAAAAACATTTTATTTAATAAACATATAAACTCAAATACTGTAACTTTCATTTAAAGACCTTGAGGCAATGTTGTTTCCTATCTTTTCCTTTATTTGCAAATACTATAACGCCAGCAAAAGTTAAAACTTTGGTGATAGTCGGTTTTGTGCCTTCTTAGTTAAGTTATGGGTCTTATTATCAGTTTTTATGGCCGTATCTAAGGGATAAAGGGTCCGTCGACAGCTTTTTTGGTGTCCTCGGGTGTCTTGCCTTCTCTATAAAGGTAGCCGAAGTGGAAGGAACCACTGGCCTTTATGATAGTCGGCGAGGGGTATCGCCTTATTTTCGTTGCTTTCAGCTACTGTCACATTATAGCGAAGGATGTGGCATCTCCCAGCGTTTTTTAAATCTTTTGACTGAGCGATAAGATTAATGTCCTTCTTCAACCGCTACGAAAGAATCCCTACAGTCTCGCCTCCTAGTGGTTATTGTGATAAACTACCTGCTTTTTTTGCATCAACTTGACGTCGGTGTTTTATGTAGCAGCGATCAGCCGTATCACCCGGCGGTATTGACGAAAAAGGTTCATAAAATTTAATTATCCGGTGGAAAGCCTGGGCGATAAGCAACTTTGTTGTTGGGCCCCGGCAGCATGGACAGCTGTCAGGCACCCTCACAACTTCAGACCGCTTCTTGTAACAAGGAGAAAGTTGGAGGGGGAGACGGGTCGGTGAATAGCGATGCTTCAACAGCAGCTGTAATTTTTTGTCCAGATCGTAAATGACCGTGTCTTGATATCGACTGGTGGTTGTCTTTTAGATGACTTTGTCTAAGACGACTGAAGTTCCCCTTTTTTGCTCTGTGCGTTGGTGAGACGTTAGCACGCGAGGAGTGTCTTGGTCCCCGTACATCTCAATTATTTTCCCGTTTAAAATTTTATCTACTATTTCAAGCAGCGTCGCACAGAGTATAGTGGGCAAGCAGTTTAGACAGACCTCTGGTAAACAGAATCTGCTGAGAAGTTTGTAGACCGATTTTAACCGTTATCACATCAAATAGCATCGTGTCAGCCAAGTTGCTTATCACTGGAAGATGAGTTTAAAGAGCGGTGCGAATGTTGCTAGAGTCTCGCCTATTTGTTCCGGAACAGTGGGCCATTGCTATTGCTTTTGAGCAAGTTGTGATGCACGAGGTTATTAAAACATAGGAAAACCTTCCGAGACTTCAGTAAATTGTTCAAAACTTAAAAAAGTAAAGTATTTCCTTTCTACTAATTTTATTCATTTATATTTTTCTTTATTAGATGTTCGTGATCATATAACATCCTTACTAAGGTTACACTTCTTTTTCAATTTTATGAAGTTAATATACAGTTTCAGATAAATTTCCCTCGCGTCGTTTTATAAGAAAAACGATCACTGTTAATAAAGACTTTCTTAAGTATTTTGAAAGTTAAATATAGCACATTTAAAGCGGTTAGACAATTAAGGCGATTTTAATAAGTTTTTATGAAAAGAGTGCAGCGGTTAGCATTTATTATATGCAAATCGAAGAGTAAGACCAAAGCGCTTTGTTATACACCGCTACACTGCAGCATAAATTATAATTGAACAAATATAACCGAGAACATAAAAGTTTGGAAGGCATTCTTTTCGGTAAAAAATTATAGTAAGTTATATAAGCCTTCATAAGTGGGTTTAAAAATGTTATAAAGTTAAGTAGAGTCTTTATATGTTTTTTCTTAAGTCTCTTAAAGTGTGAAGTTGGAGAACATTATATTACTACACTAAAAGCCTTAATAATAGTATGAAGAGTTTTAATTTTTGAAATGAAGCTATGAAACCAATAAATTTTTTCTTGAGTAATGGTTAAACTCCCAAACTTTATATTGAATTAAACGAATATAATATATAAGAATTGCTAGAGCAGATTTTATTTAATCATCTTTCAGCCAAGCATATTCAGCTCGCATTTCCTCTTCTTCTTCTGGTGTAAAATCATTTTCAATGTTGAAAATTTTTCTAATTTCTTCTGGCTCTTTGCCTTTTATCATATTTGCCACCGTCTTGCATCCTATAAACAACCAAAACGGTGATTGTTAAAATTACGGTGGTAAATCTTTTACCCACGTCTAGGAGTGAAGGTATATCTAAAAAATTAGCAGCTAGTATTAAAGCAAAGATTTCTTCTTGGTCTGTTCCTATTTTTTTTTTAATTAAAAAAGTGCTAACAAAAGAAAAGGCTTCCTATAATAATAACACTGGAAATTTAAATTTAAAACAAAATTTTTAACCGATAAGCTTGGAATCCCAGTCAGAAACTGTAGTTGGAGTAGAAAATTCCCAGTCTTGATCATCAGGATCATCGTCTACATGATACTCGCAATATTCAATTATTTTTTTTAAAGTATGACTACTAATATTTTTAAGTGGGACCTATAAAAATTAATATATATACTGTATTAATATCATTTAATGTTATTCTTCACTTAATAATAACAAACGTGATTACAATAAACTATAAAATCTTGATACTTCTTCTATAATTCCATCTTCAAGATTAAGGTCTTCTATCATATTCTTTATAGTGTTTGACATTGTAGCAACTCTAAAACTAACAGTGAAAATTTCACCTTCGCAAGACTTTAACCCAATAGTTTTTGTATCACTCACCACGGAAAGATCTCCGTCTTCTAGCATTTTTAGCAACAGAGAACATACAAGTAAGCGCCGGATATCCTTAAAGTAATCATTGAGGTGAGGTTAAAAAGCACTACTATTGACTGCCTCGGTACAAAACAAGCAAACAGCACCTTTTGAGCTTACCGAGATTGGATGTTATTAAACGTATATAACCCATTACTACTTATATTCTATCAAGTTTTTTGGTCCGCACTCTTTTAAAAATCTCATTTACGTTAAGCTATCGTGTTTATTATAGAATTTGTCTACGAAAATAAGTATACTTTTCCTTTGGGAGGGTTAGAAAAGTAATACCCACCGATGAAGCGGAAAGAGCCACCTATCACTCTTTGCCAATAAGAATATGATTTTATGTTTAAAAGTACATTTATTAAAAAAAGAGTTAGAACGAAATTTCCCTTCCTTCTTATGTCGTGAAATTCCTTCCCTTGGTCTTAACATTTATTAAGGTATGAGGTTTTCGAAAAGGGCTTCCACTTTTTAACTAAAATGAAAGTTTGACTAAGAATATTGATGACTTCGACAATCTTTTTTTTTTTGACCAATTTAAAAATAGATGCTTATGTTGTTTATAATTATTCTAACTTTAATTTTCTTAGTCTTTAAATGGCGTAGTCTTACCGGCTCTATTCTCCCCTTTGGCAATTTTTTTTTAATTACTTTTCAAAGATAATAAAGTACATTGAACTTGCGACGAAAGTAAAAAAGTTCATAAAATAACTTTTAATAAAGTCGTAACAAAGGAATATTCAAAATTTTAACTTGTGTTGGGTAGAAGATAGTAACCGTCTATTAATAATTTCCTATTACTCAAAAGATAACAGTTATCTCAGTGATGTAAATAAGGATGTTATGGAAACCTCAAAAACTGCTTATTGGAACGTTTCTAAAAAACCTTAGAAATTTACTTTAGACAGTGCCAAAGTTTTTATGGTTAAAATAGGCAAAGCACACCAATGAATTCCATGAAGGGCTTATAAAGCCCTTTGGAAAATAAAAATTTGTGAAAGCGTTAGAATTTGATAGACTTTAATGCATGAATTTGGCAGAAATTACAAAGACAATGAAGCTTAGTTTTACAACACGGAGAATACTCAAGATATGATATAATCTCTCAAGAAATCGACATAAAGCCTCAAAAAGGATAAAAGAAGTTAACACAAAATTAAAGCCTTAAACAAGCTACTTTAGAGTTATGCATACAAGAAATACTACTTTTTCTGAAAAAAAAAATGTTTGTGTGTGGTAAATTATCTCTTTAACCTTAGTGTAGGCACTAAATATGTTAACTTGTAGGCAGAAATAATAAGATCAAAAATGTTAGATTACAATGTATTGCAGCAGAAAAAGATTAAGTACCGGAAGGCCGGCACCTAACTATAACCAGTTAACTTCTTCCCCTTGTACTTAAATTAATATTACAGTTAATACCTGCACGGTCACCTTTCCACATCTTGCTAGTAACACTGAATGTTTTACATTTGCATGTATTTAACGATAGAAGTGCCATTTTTCTGCGAGATAAATTTCCTTAGCTACCATACACATCAAGTTTCATAAATTTACTGAGGTCTATAAGTATTTTGTCTAGAACTGCATAATTATTAAAAAACATATACTATTTCACGGGTGCATCAATTAAAAAATTTTCTATAACAAGGTTTATTTGGAACTAAAGTGTCAGTTTTCTATGATTCTTTTCTACTAAAATATATAATGCCTTAGTTTGCTTTAGCATAATATAGCGGAAATACGAATTGTTAATTTTGAGCATAATGCGACTGTATGCATTAGATAAAGCAATATAGATATTGCGTTCTGTTTAAATCAAATAAGTAGACAAATAAATTTACAAATAGAGCATCTTTTGTATATATATATATATATTATACCATTCTCTTAAATTTTTTTTTTTAATTTTTTATACTTTCTAATGTTTATTCGATCTGTTTTCCCTTGTAACAAAGTAGGCGAGGCAGGTACAACAGTTGCATGACTTTATAAGAAGAAACTTTTGCATTGAACCGGTAAACGGAGAGTCAGCGTTAATAATAACATAGTAGATGGGCTCGCTTAAACCTAAGTAAGAGCTGAAAACTCGACAATTAACAGCAAGGATGAACTAACAGCTGCAAATTTACAACTACGGATTACTATTTAGGCCTATAAAATATCTTAATTGCAATTATACTATTCTACGCTGCTAAGGTTAAAGAGGTACAATAACAAAGAAAATCGCACTCCATAATAAAAAAAATTGTATAACACAGGCCTTACCCGAAAGACGACTTAGGCGCTAGGTAAGTATCGTTTAAAAAGCTATAACTTAGGGAGTAATATAGGGGCCTATTTCTATATAAAAAAGTATTACTTGGGTTCTTAAGTGCTGTTTTTGAGACACTAGCGATGACTTAAAAAATTAAAATTAAAAACAAAAAATAAATACTGATAGTTAATTACAGTTCTATATGGTGTAAGCTTAATATTTTAAAAAGCTTTAGACATTCATAGTTTAATAAATAAAAGTGGTAAGTGAGTGTAGAGAAACCTATAAATTTATCATTATTATTGGCTATCTTGTACTATTCATATTAACACTTTAAGAATTCAAAAACTATTTAGTATTATAAATAAATAATAAAAATAATACTATTACATGCATGTTTACAGGCAACGCTGTTGCGAGCTCCGAAAAAACTTAAGTTGGTAACATTTACCGGTTACAACTGGATAGAAGGACTATCGTAACCTGATCTCAGTAATAGAAACTAAAAGTATTTATTTTGTAAGCTAACAAGTAATTAGTCTTAATAAATCCGCCCAGTAGCTTGGAGCTTATAAAATTAATAAAAAAGAACAAGAAAACTTTCGGCGTATTTTTTGGTTGCTCTATATGTTCCTTTTTCACGCTGAACTATAATATATATAACATTATATGCTTGCTTAAGTTTATTTTAAATTATGTAAATAATTTATATTTTTTAAAAAGGCTTAGAGCAAAGCAGGAAACACATGTAACATAGCATATAATCATAAAAGCTGTAGTACAGTAACTTTTTATGCTCGTTTCTTTTATGAGACGCAGGTAAGCCTCCAACTAATTATTGAAGTTGGCGACTTTTCATGAAACCAAAAACCAAAAACTACTAAGAAAAATATGGTAAAATAAGCGAAAATGAACGGGGAAAAAAATCTCTTTAAGCCATCTTGTCAGTGAAAAATAATTCCTTAACGTTTTCACAGTTCGCCGCAAAGATTTGCTTTAATATAACCGCACATGATAGGTTATCAAGCCAAACCCATGCCGCCCTTGTAAATTTCATTTGGTAATTTCTCTTGCTTGTGGCTTCGCTGTCTTGAATTTTTTTTTATTGCTTGAATAGAGGCTTCGTCTTTAACTGTTTAACTTTTCTTTCCGTAAAAACGTTCACTATCGTCAGAGTTGAGGATCTAAACAAAAAGTTAATATATTATGACTGAACAGTTGGGAGCAAAAAGTATTGTTTGTTTCACTGTCTGATATTAATTTTGAGGCGTTTTACATAATATTTTTTATACCATATTTCTTAGTGCCTGAAGAATGTTCTGAATTTAGTAAATATTTTGAGATTGTTAAAGAAAATCCAAAGGATTGGGACACCTGGGTTTACCTTTTAACTCTTGTAGAGCAACAAGTATTGCACTAAGTTTTTCACTTGTTTTATTTTGATTTTTCCTCTTCTAAGCCTTTTTACGTATAGTCAACGTTTATTTTGCGCAGACTTTATTTACTATTTTGAGATTCTGTTCTTAAAACATTTGCGCTTGGTACCTTATTTACTTATTACTCTTCTCCTTCGCAGCTTTCTTTCAACTTTCTACACTTTTAGTTTTCCTCATTCACTTTTTAAAGGGCACTATAGATCTCATACGCCGAACATTTGATTTTTTCTTGGCAAGTTATCCTTTTTGTTTCGGTTATTGGAAGAAGTATGCTGATGCGGAACTCGCTCATTCTTCCCCGGAAACCTGTATCCAGGTTTATAGAGTACCATATGTTTCTTTTAATAGACTAAAAATTTTACACAAAAAGGTCTTTGAAAGAGGCGTCCAAGCTATCCCTTTAAGCTTGGATCTATGGTAGCTATTATTCCTTTTCTAAATTTAAAGTAGCTTTAGCTGAAGTTTAGCTTTATAAACTTTGGTAATATTTATTTTTTTCTCCACAACTATTAGGGTTCATTATTTGACGTTTTACAAGTCTTATTCGGAAGCCACTCAGGAGTCCATCAAAGAGTATATAACTAAACTCGGACTCTCTAGGAAATCCCGTAGTCATCTTTACTCTGTTAGCCTTTTTGACCGCGCTGTACTTACGTGCGGCCTGGACTGGAAGGCGCAGGCTCTCTGGGATCTGTACATTTCTTGGGAAGAATTCATGGGGCACTACGTCAAGGTTCACCACGTGACTAATTCCTATTGCCCGGCCTCCTCCCCTCTATTTCTCCCCCCTCCAGGTTTTCAGCCTCTACAAGAGAGTGATGGTTTTGCCTCTGGAAGGCCACATTTCCTACCCTCCCCGGTCGACTTGACTTCCTTCGGGGCTGACTGTCACCTCTGACTTTTATTGTCTGTATATTTAGTTTTTATAAGTTCTTTGAGAAGCACGAGTTGGAAGATCTTCTGAGCGAAGCAGAGCTAAACAACTTGAAAGAAAGTCTCTCTTCTGAGCTCGAAAATAAAGTTACTTCATCATTCGTTTTATACGGGAGTAGCCTTGTGAACGAGCTGTTTGGTTTATAGACGCCCGATGAAGTAAAAGCGATATTAAAAGAGAGCCTGAAAGAGCGCTGCCAGGAAGATATCCTTCAAGGCAAGAAGGAGACTGATCTCCGCTACCCGTATGAGGAGAGCGTGCGTCTTTTTTTTCAGTACGTGGTGTCGGCCTTCACACCCCCTTTCCGCACATGTTCAGCTCAAGCGGACTTACTTCCACGTGAAAGCCCTGGACGAAGGGCAGATCCGCGCTTGGATGGACTATATTAACTTTGAGAAGGGTTTTTAATATTATCTTCTTCCTATCATTTTTGGAGCTGTAACACATAAAGAGGATCTTATTTTTAAGGATGCAGGCTCGCGTCGGTTTCTATTCTGTTGTTCCTTGTAGGCAGCGTACTGTAGCAGTCTAATATAGTTGAGTTCACTCCTTTCACTCTATACTTCTATCCCTCCTGCGCACGTGGAGTGCCTTAATGCTGTTATACTCGCGACACTATAGAGCAGAGCGGCGAGCATTCGGTGCGCTTGAACGTCCTTTTCGAGCGCTGCGTGATTGCGTGCGTAAGTATATGTTAGTCCCCGCATGCACGCTGTTCCTAAGGCCTCTACTTGAGGCTTTGTACGAGGACGTCTGGTTCAAGTACGCGTGGCACTGCAGAGACGATAAGGAAAAATCGCTGAGGATACTAAAGAAGGCCGCGGAGATCCACCTGCCTAGACGGCCCGCCGTTTCTCTGGCCCTCGCAGCCTTTCACGAGGGTAAGAACGACTTAAGTAGTACGAGGTCTGTCTACGAAAGTATTCTGAAGCAAGGTTTTCTCAGTGTGATGGTTATAATAATGGATATGCTGATTATTATTTTTGTCAGTCCCTGTGCACGTGGAGACTCTCATTCGTTTTGCCAACTTTGAAAAACGGCGAGGGAACTACGGCGCTGCTGTTTCTCTTTTGGAAACTGCCATTGCTAGCATGGTCTCTCTACTTTTATCATTGTGACTTGGTTCCGCCGCTTTGATTGCTCATACCGTCGTCTTAGAACCCCGAATCGGACGAATGTCTTTTCCTTAAAGTTTTTCTGTGTGATCTGTTTGTGTTGAGGTTGGCTGGTCTTGTTTGTTCGTAGCGCTTTTTCGCAACTGCTTGCTTTGCAGTGATGGAGCTCCTAAAGGGAGAGAAATGTACGAGTCTTTGGTAGAAAAATACGACGATAATGAGTTTTTGTTTCTCCGATTTCTTGATTTTGAGTTGAATCTGCATCCCAAAGGTCTTTTGTTTCTCTGCTTACGATTTTGATAGTAGTAACACATATATAGATGCGAACTACATCCAAAACGTTCGTAATGTTTTTCAACTGGCGCTAAAATCCAAGCTCTCCTCAAAATTTAAAAGGGAGTTTGCTCACCGTGAACTTCACTTTTTGGATCAGTATTCTGAAGATTTTACTAAGTAGTCTCTCTTTTGCGCTTTATATAACGTTATATAAACGGTTTATTCATAGTTTTTATGAAGTTGAGCAGTATTACCGCGAACAGTTTTTTTATGAAGGTTTTTCCTTGAGGAGGTCCGTTGGTCTCTGTTAAATACTTGCGCCGTTCACTAAGTTTTGCGGCAGTCATGACGAGGCTCTGTTTGCCCAGCCAGACGGCTCCTCCACGAAAAGACCGCACTACGAGGGCCAACCCCTGCAACAACCGTCTTTGTCCAATCCGCAGGAGCCACCGAAGCAGCTTATGCACCAGCAGCCAGCCCCCATGGCTTGGGATCCGTACATGCAACTGCCCCCTTCTCAGTTTGCGGGTGGCACGTGGCCGCAGACTTCGCTGTCTCCGTGGGGCTCCACCTTGTGAATTGCATCGTATATAATTCAATAAAGCTCGGCACTTACGTTATGATTATTATATTTGATCTTTTTTTTACGTTAAAGCGCTGTTTCATTTAGTTTTCAACGCCTTAGTTTATATTAGCATAAAATTGTTTTCTTTTTAATGATTATATTTGTTGGAGATAATAAATAAGTATTGCGCTTTTCGGCGGTTGTAAGGTTGTAGCATGGGCACTTGTTAGGTTTCCTCTCCATGTGAAATTTGACTTTACATTTATTTTAGTTAAGAGTTTGCTTAAGTAAAGTTTAGTCAGGCGTTAAGGTTTAGTTTTTAAAATAGTTGTGCTATAGTGTAAACGTTGTTTTCCATGGTTCTTCCATAAAGTAATAACTTTTGTTTTTATTGGAAAAATTTAAGATGCTCTGTGTCACACTGCACTATCGGTGCGACACGACCCCATTTACAGTCGTAGTCTTGTCCCCGGCAATCTCCTGATCTCAATTCCATCTTGAAGAGGAAATTAGGATCCTACGATGCAGGCCCTGCTAACTTGGACGAGGGGAAAAACCGGATTAATACTACAATCTGTTTGCCAATATGCCGAAGAGGATACAAGCAGTGATTCTGTCAAAAGGGAGCTATACTAATTAGGAAAACCTTGTTTGCTAACTTAAATTTTTTCTGCGAGCACTATTGTTTCTATAAGCTCTCAACTTTACAAGCTCATCTTTTCGAATATTAAAACATTTTTAAATTAAATATTATTAGAATATATCTAGAACATAGAAGTGAACTGTGTTTTAAATTAAAAAGTTATTTTAAATTAAATGAAAATAGGTAAGACGTTGAAACAATATTAAACGATAGAGTAATTTGTGTTCCAAGGTAATTGTATTCCAGAAGCTTTATATATATTTTTTTATAGAGTAAGTGTACAACTTTTAATAGTTTTTTTCATTTGTAATAAAAAAACCACTTTTTAAGGGCAAACTTTTAACTACCTAAAAGAAAAGATTTTAAAGATGAAGCAAAAAAAATTACCTTTTTTTCCTTTCTTATCGTTAAGTTTATTATAATAAATATAAGATTTATGAATTGTCGTTTATATAATGTAAACTGGGGTTTCTTAAAAACTACTTTTGACAGTCTATATTACGCGCGTAACGAATTCTTAATCCTCACTACTTTTTAAATTTTTTTTGTCTCTCTGCACAGTTCCCTTCATTTTCACTTAAGTAGTGACGCAAGCAATTCTGCTGAAAATAATCCGGTGTGAAGAAGCCAAACCCGATGTCTTCTGGAAGCTTAAAACTAACGCAATACATACTTTTCTTCGGCGAAACTTTCCGGACCTGCAAAATAGTGAACTTTGACTGAGAGGGACAAAAGGTATAAAAAGTTAAGAAACCTGGAAAAATTTAACAGAATCAAATTTTAGTGTAGGGCCAAGATGTTTTTTTACTTTAAGAAATAGATGCTAGTTTACAAAAAAATATAGAATTATATATATATAAAAGACGTTAACTTCAGTAAATAAATTATAAACAAAAAGAAACTTCGACGGGCTCGTTGTCCAAATGAAAGCAATAGCAGTGAATAGTCGGCATTACTGCAGTCCTCTTTATTAAAAAATAAACGTTTCACTGGTTAAATGAGACACTCAATATATAAAAACTTTAATATTCCGATACAAGCCATTAAAGACATCTAAAACTTCTACTGCGGACGCTGGAAGATTCATAAGAACTACGTCAAACCACGGCAAAGTGGAGTCTACCGTTTATTATGAAAATTTCTAACTTTCATTTTTATTAAAAAGCTTCAGCAAAACCATTATCAATAATTTGCACGAGATCTTTGAGGAATCGCCGGCCGTCCTTATTGTAAATCTTGATTCTATCGCTATTAATCTGTACAACGTGAAAAATTTACTATTTTGCAAAATGACTTAAAAAATAGACTTCTAAATGCAAGTCGAAAGGTGTTTATTATTAATAAATATTAATTAAGGTTTAATAATTTGTAGAAAAGGATAAATGTTATACAAAAGTATCGAATTTAAAGATGGCTAAAGATGGAGAGACTTTATTTAGTTTAATGTTTTCTAAAAACCACAAGTAAGATTGAGGATTGAGATCGTTGCAGTATACAAAAAGGCCACGTTTAGCAAGAGGTAGCGAGAAGGGCCCGACACCGGCCATCACGTCGCATATGACGTGCCCATCTTCGGTGGAGCTTTTTTCTTTGTAGGGCGCGTACAAATTTACAATCCGCTGATGCTCTTGCTGAAGTCTTTTGGGGAAAAAAATAAAATCTTTTTTGTAGTGATAATTTATGGGTGCCCACCTGGAATTCCAGTATACTTGAGAATAATCAAATCGAAATCGACTACCATTTTCACGCACTTCAGTGATATAATTATTTTCTCCAGCAAGTAACTTCATAGAAAAATTTTAAAAAAACCAAAAGTATAACACTAAGATAAATTGAATCATATTTTATAAATATTATACAAAGTGGATTGTAAATTAAATGATTTTCTTATGTATAAATTAATTTTTCCTTAAGTAGAAAAGTATAACGAAAAATAGCCTTCAAATAGTGACTAGATCAAGCTTAATAATAAACAAAAATATACTTCCATCTGAAAATGCCGGAAAGTGTGATTAATTGCTTTTAATTTGTTCACCACGGTCTTAATAATACTATTTTTTTCTAAAAACACCTGCGCTTTAATAATAATAAAAAAAGAAGTACTTGCAAAGAAAAATTCATAACATTCTTGTGATACCAATAACAAACTTATACTTTTCCTGAGAAGGACGAAGATTCAAGTGAGCAATGTGTCCTACTGTTTCAAAACTGCGAGTCTAAAAAAATTTAATAAAAAAAATTAGATTAACAAGAATACTATACCACGAGTTCTGGATTAAACGGTAAAATTGCTTTAAAAATTTGATCCAATTGCCAGTAATCAAAGGTTAAACACACGGAATGTTCCACGACGTCACCAAACTGGAGTAAAGCTGAAACGACCTCGAAATATATAAAATTTTAAGGAAGATCTTTAAAATATACTCTGAAGGGTAAACTTAATTACTTCTTCGGGTAACTGATTCAAGCTCTTTTCCTTTAATAACGGCGTAAACAAAAGTATACGCCGGCTTGCATCATGAGGGTCTCTGACTACTGATTTTACTCTCTTCAAAGATAGGTTAAATTAAATAAAATTATTCGAGCAATAATGTAACGTACAGGTAAAGATAAAAAGCACGAGCTATATCTTTCCTTTACTTTCTTACACAACCCTTTTGGCACACTCAAGCCCAGTAGATCAAGCGTTTTAGAAAATTTATCTTTTTGTAATACAAGCATATTGCTCTCTATGTGCGGTGGTTGTAACTTAAATTCTCTTGAAGCTCTAGATAAAGCTTGAAGTGTGGAAAATTTCGCCATAGTCTCCAACGCAGAGCTGAAAAACCTAAAATAGACCGGCGGGAGGAGCTTAACAAAAGTTGAAACTAAAAAGTTCTAAATGTAGTAAAAGAAGAGTATTGAGATAAATAAAACTTGAATTCAACTTAATAATAAATAACGACTCAAGAAAACTTTTATACAGCTCACTTTATTAACTTATAACCTACTAAAAAGTAAAGCCTTTCACGCAAAAAACTTTAACACTAGCGTATAACTAAGAAAACCTATTCAATATATTTATTAATTTGCTCTTAGTTAATGATATAGTAATCTAAACGTAGAGCACGAAAGAAACAGCAAAGCCTTCAGTTGCAAGTAAGTTACAATACCATATTTCAGATTTCTCGTGCACGCCTAGGGCGGTTAAGCAAAAACACGTTAAGTTTCATCAGGTTCACCAACTTGCATATTTATATAAAAAAGAGACCTTTGCAGTTAGTGTCTTAATTTTTGGGTCTTCTGTCTAATTTGAGGTTTTTAACTTTTTAAAAAGGTTTAAAAATGGTCGATTTAATTTCTTAAACAATTTAGAATAGTTTTTACTTTATTGACTATTTTTATTACCGTTGTACTTAATATAACTCTCCGGTAGCTATCTTTTCCTCCTATTCTCCTTACTTAATTTTTTTATCTGTTAAACTTAACTCCTTAATAAGTTATTCTTTTAGTTATAAACCAACAGTAATAGGAAAAAGGATTCCGCTTGAGTAACCCATGTTAAGTTCTCTCAGATATAGTTATTACCTTTGTAATTATAGTAAAAGCTGTGAAATATTTTTTACTGGAATACTTAAATCTATAAAAAAGGAGCTTTATCCCATAATATTTTTGCCAAAAATTAAATTCAGAAGCATTAAATTTTCACATTTCCCTCTGCGCTTACGTAGCGAAGCTTTTACTGTAGAGACTTTGCTATTAAATATATATCTCTAAATCTCGTGTTAACCTTGAAAGATTCTATATATTGCAGCCAAACATGATAATTTTCATTGATTTTTGTTTCTCGTTAGCATAAACACCTTAAACTGCTTTTACTACAGAAAATTACTTGCGATTACAATAGTACTTTGTAAACGGAAAGTTGTTTAAGAAGAGAAAAAAAAAAGTATACAAAAAAAAATTTTACATTATACATCACTACTGTATTTCACAACCAGCCCAAGCATGGCAGAGGTTCTGTAGATCAGTTGGTTAGATCACCTGCTTTACACGCAGGAGGTCGCGAGTTCGATCCTCGCCGGAATCAGGTCATTTTTTACCCAAAGGACGTAATTAGGAAAGGCTTCCTTATCAGTTGGGTCTTATCGCAGTATAGAAGTTTCTTAATATAGATTTTAATAATTTAATTTCTCCTTAAACCTCCTCCTGCCCGGTTTCCGGTTAATTACATTCGAATCACCGGGTCCTTTTTATGAAAATGGCATCTTCTACTGTTGACATCGAAGCCCCTCGATATGACCAGGTTATTTTTTAGTTTAACACTTTATTAGGTTTTAAAAAAAAATGTATAAAATTTTTTATATTTAGGGAACATACAAGGGAAGAGTTTTACACTTTTTAAGAATTACTAACCCTTTTAACATATGTACATCAAAACAACGGCTTCAAGATTCTAAACAAAAACTCGAAGATTACAAATCGGGTAAGTTAAAACTTGGAAAAGACGTGAGCGAAGAAGAGCTATGGGAAGCTAAGTATCTCAGAGGTTGAATAAGAAAATATATAATCATAATATTTTAGATCTTTAACTTTAATTATTTACTTTGCTGTTTTTGTTAAACTTGGGTAGATAGTGCATTCCATCCAGACACCGGAGATTTACAGTTTTTTGTAGGAAGAATGGCATTTCAGGTACACTTAGACTTAGTTTATAGCATAACATGTCTCTACATAAAAGTATATTATCGCTAAACAAATTAGGTCCCCGGAAATATAATTGTAGTCGGAGGAATGACGACTTTTTATAAGAGTAAACTATATTTTTATTTATTATTAGATTTAGTATTTATGAGTTATACGAATCAATATAATACGCTAATATTTATAACTAATAGGCACACCAGCCATACTTTTTTGGCAATGGGTCAATCAAACTTTCAACTGTATTGTCAACTACACTAACCGAAATGCCTCAATCCCACTCAGCAATACGCAGCTTATCGGTATTTATGCTAAATATTCCGGCCTCTTACCCTTAAAATTTTTTTTAATCAAGTACTTTAAAAAATTTCTCCTTACTGATCCTCTATTTTCTTTAAACACAAACTTATATAAACAGGCGCTTATCTAGCTGCTTGCTCTGCTTCGATGGTTGCTGCTCTGGGTTTAAATAGGCTTGTAGCAAGGAAGCCTGCTTGGCAAAGAGGTCTTATTTTGCTGAAGTCGTCCAAGTAACTTAGATTGCGGTTAACCCGAGTATATAGGCCTCATGGGACGCTTGGTACCCTTTGGAGCCGTGGTTATCGCGAACTGCTTTAATATACCTCTTATGCGACAGGAAAGTTTGCAATTTTTTTAAAGTTTTTCAATCTTTAAAGGAGTTTCTAGTAGTAGAGTTATTATTATTTATAAGATATATGAAACGCGTAATAGAATAATAGTGAATAAGAAAGCAGTATCAAAAAGTAGACCTATAAAAATTCAAAGTTAATCTCGCTTCTACTTTTTTAACTAAATATCCTTTAAGTATTCACTATGACTATATCGGAGCCACTCAAAAAAAGAGTTTCAAAACATTTTTTACAAGTAGTACTAATTACTTATTTTTTATTTTTATTTCTCAGGTAGAGCTTTCTAAAGGAATCGATGTATTTGCCGATACAAAAGAAAAAGAAAGTTTAGGAAAAAGCGTCACCGCAGCAAAAAGCGCAATATCCCAAGTCTGTTATCTCGCCTATTTACACTCCTTTGTTATTCACTAAAAATTTCTAAAAAAGGTTTTAATCTCGCGAATATTCATGGCAGTTCCCGGGCTAACAATTCCGCCAATTGTCATGAACACACTTTCAAAAAAAAATTTTTTACAGCGACATCCTTCACTGGCCACTGTATGTTTAGCAAATAATTATTTTTAGCAAAAAAAAAATAGGCGCGAAATTTTTTAATAAGCCTCAACGAATGTTAAGAAAACTATAAAAGTTATCGCCTCTTCGCTGGCGCGCGCACCAAAAGAAGAGCGCACGACTAACATGCTTTTTTTCTTTATATATTTAAGCCCATTTCCCTTGGAGTTACCGGCATTTCAATACTATTTGCAACGCCACTGTGCTGCGCTTTGTTTCCGCAGAAAGCAAAGATAGACATAAACAAAGTTGAGTCAGAAATTAAAGAGAAAGCTTCCGGAAAAAAGTTACAGTTTGTTTATTATAACAAAGGGCTATAACCTTTTTTTCTGTGCAGCGGCAACTAAATTTACACACTAATTCAATAAAAGGTAGCAATATTCTTGCAATGTAAAACAAAATCAGGCACCCGGCCTCTAAAAAAAATATATATTAGTTCGTGCAAGATAAAAAACTCATAAATAGCGTAGTAGTAGAAAGGCAAATAAAAAGCTACACTCCACTAATTGACAGGGTTATGCCCCTCCGGTTATGCTTGACTAATATGTTGAAACAAAAATTAGAAAAATGTTATACTTCTTTGAAAGGGCGACGGTCCTTTTTAATATTTTTCTGTTTGCTTCTTTTTTTTAAACGCTTGCAAAAGGTCTTCGGTGGTAGTTCCTGCTCTGACTAAGTTAAAATACCTTAGTAAAAAAAAATGAATTTATAAATAGCATACAAAAACGCACATCGCACGACTTTTTAGAAGCTTCGTGATAAAGTTTGCAAAACTTTGGCTCCTTAGTATGAGACTTGGAAGTTAAAAATCTTTGAGGAGTTTGAAGGGCACTAGACTTGCACTCGTTAACTTTGGCTTCATAATAAATTTTTTTTTTTAGAGCACGCATTTTCTTCTTTTGCTTTTTAGTATTTACGAGCAATTCATAAAGGTCAGGAAATTTATTAGAACTACTATAAGAACTCAATAAGGAGGATTAAAGGACCCAAAAAATAATTATTACCTTCGTTTAAAATTTATTTTAGTTAATTCAGCACTCTCATCCTCGCTCTCATGTGAGTCTTTTAAATTTTTTTTCTTAGTCTTATAATGATCAGCCTTCAATATATTAAGATAACAAGAGAACTCCTTTTTTTTTAAATAGAAAAGCAAAAATTTGGGAAACTAAAGCAACGCGTTAGTACCACGCCCAGTAGATAATAGCACAAAAACTACGCCGTTTAAAATACTTTATAATATAACGTACAAATAACTAAAAAACCTTCCGTATACTTTTCTAAAGAGTTTTTGAGACGTTTTTCAGCGAGTATCTCCTTTTTTACTCCCTTCAACTCTGAAAGATCCTTACGAAAATGCGGAATATATTTAGCACCTAAACCTAGTCTTGATAATGTGTTAAATATTTGTAAAAGTAATAGTTACAATGAAAAGCGGATACACCTGGAAGGCCTAGAGATTAATGGGTCGCTTTCTTCTCCAAAGGAACTACAGCTATTCAAAAGTGTTTTATCGTCCGCTGGCTCTTTAAACCAGCTATCTACAAGTACCCCAATAAGGTCATCGGCTTTTAATTCAATATCATCTGAATTTTGTGCATTACTAGCTGCTTCCATCTTGCAGTTGTAAATAGGTTAAAAAAAAAAGAAGGTCTCAATATCGAGAGCACCCAAACGTTTAACATGAGAATAGCTACAACCCATGCAATCCAGCAAGGGGCTGACCAGCTTCCTAACTCTTGTGCTTCTTCGAAATATTTTAATTCCCTGGAAGGAGCAGCTTTCTATATGGATGTCTGAGTTAAAACGCACCACCATATCCGACGAGGACGAAATTTCGTCTATATATGAAGAAAACCAAGCTAATGTACTATTGCTGTATTAGACAAACTCTTATGCTTATATTCGATTTAATGCAACGCATTTTATTACTATTTTAATATTGACCCATCCAGGCTTTGATACAGTTTAAAAACCTCATTTCTCAATTTCTTTTTCTGTTTCGTAGTTAACCTAATATTTTTTAATAAAAAAGCTGCAAGATGTTGATAAAGTTTTAGAGGATTTTACGGAGTTTGAGAGCAATAAGTTAAATCTTATAAAGCGCCGATCAGATCGGTCTACTTAAGCCCAATAACCTTATATCTTATTTAATTGTTATAATAGCTTTGACGTTAACAACGAAAATTATAAGAAAATAACTCGCTTAAAAAGGTAGCATTTAATAATTATATCTTTAAAGCTATTTTTTTAAAGCATAATATATTATGCATGTTACATAGATTTGGTCTACCTTTAAAAAGTTCGGTTGGACGATTGGTTACAGCTTCAAGGTAAACTTTTTAACAAGTTCACCTTATTTTCTATAAATAAAGTATCCAATGTTACTTCTCTCTAGAAAACTTGAAGTGAAACAAAAATCAAATGCCAGCGGACCTGGTTAACTTTCTCTTTCAGTTTATTACAAATTATGAAGAGCTACACTTTTATTATATTTAATACCAGTTGACTCAGAGGAATTGAAAAAAAGAAAGGAAAGAGCCCGAAGGTTATCATGTTTAAAAGACAAATTCTTTATTAGTGCAGTAACTATTTATAGATTTGGACTGTCCAACTCGCCCAACTTCGCTAAGTTTGAAGAGGAAACAATTAGGAAGAAGCGAGCTATCAGATTTGCCACTCATTAAAGGAAAGATTACAACGAACCCATTTCAATTTTCCTTATCTTTATGCGGTCGGATAAGAATTCTTAAAAACAATTTCAATGCGAGCTTTACTTTGCATGCATTTTTATTTACGTCTACTAAATAACAAGTAACATTTTCTCTGTCGCTTAATATCGCAGTAATGGGCATTTTACTTTCATATGGCCAATCTGCATAGAAAGCAGATATTGATTTGGCCAAGCGGTCGTAAGCAGAGCTGGCTTACCCTGTTACAGTGAGGGCAAACTTCGTTTAGACGGGGGCACTCGCGCTTGCCGTGTCTAATAGAGCCGCAGGCTTCGCACTCTGCTGGTCCCTAAACGCGTGCGCAAGAAAAGAGAGGTAAATACGACTATAAATGGTCTTGTTGGCACTTACCCGACACGTGGTCTTGTCGTGCCCGGGCTTTCCGCAGTTTCCGCATCGCTTACTATAGCGGGGCGTGTAGTCTAGTGTGCCATGTTAAACAATTCTCCACTCGGCAGCATACGGGGAACAATAAAGAAACAAACCTGAAGTTTTCATATAGTAGTTTTCTCTTTCGCGCTCTTTTCGCTCAATCTTTTCATCAGAATATCTTTCTCTGCCTCTCTCCCTCTCTCTTTCTTTTTCTCTTTCACGATAGTAGCCACCACGGGGCTCGCTCTCTCTATCATAAAATCTATGCGAGCCTTCACGAAATTCCGCCCCAAAAGGTCTTCCGTGGTGAGAGTTTTCCCTTTCATATAATAAAAAGGTTAGTTAAAGTAAGAAAAGCTTTCATCTTATTTTTTTAAGGGCGGAAAAATAAATTGAAACCTTTTTAAAATGTAGCTCGATCGACCGAACCTTTCCCTAGTAGATCTTTAGTTATAAAGAGAAGATAAAGACAACTAAAGATAAAGTATAAATTTGGTAAAACGATGTGCTAAAAAACTCATCAACGTACTTGCAATATAAAAATTTTCCGCTCGGAGAAAAGAAAGCGAATTATTTAGTTAGCAACTCACGTTAACATATATACTTTTTCAAGAGTTAAATTGTATACAATCAGAGTAAACTTAAAATTTAAGGGTGATTGCTAACGATAACCTCATTGCACTAATTATTATGTGACGAACAAAAGCAAGAGCGTTACTCTTAAGAGCAGCGGTAATAAACAAAGTGGACAGACCTATTTACTTCTTCAAGGTCTGGCCTGTTTGGAGTTCTTTCAGGATAATATGAGGTTCTCAGCAGGCGTTCGTAGGGGTATGGTCGACAAATCAGAGGAGGCAAGGCAGCAGCAGAGAAGAGGCGGGCTCGACACTTATTCTGCAAGTGTCCGATCTTTCCACAGTAATTACAATGCTATGATTTTTCAATTAACATAATGACGTCTAAACGGGAATAAAAAGAATTTTTAAAAGTGCCAGCGACTGAATAAAAGTAAAAAATTAAGGCTAGGCTACTAAAATTTTTAAGTGGTCAAAGGATAAAAAAAAATGCCCAAAAAAAATCATAAAGGCCAACGTGTGCAATGGTGGCTTGGTGATTAACTAAAACTCAGTAAGAATTATTATAATGCGTTGTACACTAAAACCCCCAAAACACATGCTGCTTGCTTAGTCTCTATATTTAAAACAAAGATTAACAGGAGAATTCCTATTAATATAATTCTATTTATACCTAAATATATAAATATTTATAAATAGCGAATCTAGCGACCTTTTTACTTAATAATATTTTTTAATAATTTGTAAACCTTGTCTCGATGAGGACAGTTTTTCTTGATATGATCGTAAGCACCGCACCCGCCACAGTGAGGAGGTTCTGGACAATCGGCAGCTACATGGCGGAGGGAATCACAGTTGTAGCAGATGACCGTCGCTATTAAACGTTAAAATTATATAAGCACGGGACTAGTAAATCCAGATTTGATCCTCTTTATTTCTTTTAATTTCCAGAAAATACTATTTCAGAACGCACCAAGAATTTTATTTTGAACTCATAGGCTTATAATTAACGTCTTTGCTTATAATAATAGCCAATGCTACCGCTAAATAAGGTATACGTTAAAAAAAATAACTACTACGAGTGGAATAGAAGATGAACTCTTCTTTCTTGAAGCCACAACGTCTTGTGTAATAAAATACCAAACAAGAACAATATATTGAAGAAAAAATCCTACTTAATTAAAATTGTTCTCGGCAAAAAAGTAAAGATCATCCTTTTCTTAACAAGGTAAAAAGGGGTGGGATGGGTTAAAAGGTATGATCTTATTGAAAGTTAACTCTTAACTATTCTATGTTCATCTCTCGCTTCATCATCTTCGAGTGTAAACCAGCTTGTTAAGAACTTTTATGTGGTACTTTTAAATAAAAAAGGTACTTCCAAACAATAAATACTATATAAACTCTTCTACATCAGGTCGTCATCAGTTTATCATCACCACGAACCTCTTCGAACAGAAGGATAATAGTCGTCCACATAAGAAGCAACTACACGTTCTGTAGCGTAGTGACTTGAAATGCCTTTACTAAAAAAAAAAGGAAATAATACTAGAATTTCTACGAAGGAAGAAAAAACACCGGCAGAGATATAAAATATACACCAAAGCAGGAAATATTTAACTTAAAACCAGCATAGAAGCTGATGGATGTCAAAGTAAAAGTAAATTTCTATAAGCGAGATATAATAGACGCATACCTAAAAATTTCAGAGCGACGCCCGCTATCGATGGGGCTTCTCGATCTTCTGTGATAACTCCTATCATAAGTATAGTCATCTATGCGCCTGGTTCTACTTTGAAATAACAATATAATAAATTTTAATATAAAGTACAAATTTTATATAATATACATAAATAAAACTAGAAAAACAACAACGCCAAAAAAATTTTACCGCGACGGGGGAGATACCATTTTATAGTCAAGCTAAAAAGGGTAACCAACGGGATTATGGTGACCAACTAAGCTTAGAAGTGTGAAGAAAACGTAGCATGGACAGCTACAAATCAGTGTATTTTATTATTAGGGGCTCATCGACTTTGACAAAAGGGAGTGGAGGGCGCCAGTTAATTTTAAATTGCTTAACTCCTAAAATAATACTAATAATTTATTATAATTTAACTAGCGAGAAATAGCGCTTGTGCAGTGCATAAAATATTATTTTATTTAAAAAAATGAATCCAGATTTAAATTTTTGTAAGGTTGAGTTGTGGTACACTTGTGCCGAAGTTTAAGTTACGACAGACACAGCAACTAAGTATAATTTTACAGATTATTTATCATATATTATTTGCAAAATAAGTGTTTAAATTAAATAGTACATTGCTGTTGTGGCTTTTATAATGCGCTTGATGGGGTAGAATGAACAAAATAACGTATTATACACCATATTATATTTCTTAGTAAAACTTGAGTATAACAGATTATCAGTGAAGTTAGTTTAGTTTTTTTTAAAGTTGTCCTAAGTAGGTATATTTTCGGATGACTTTGCGTCATATGAAAGTTAAGAAGCTAGCGAGTCATGGAACATAGTAACTTTTTTTTTTTTAACTTAAGTGCATCATTGCATTCTCGGTGTTAAGTGAACTTCACAACATAGGCATTATTACAAATTAAATTGTCTTACCTTTTTCGCTACCTTCTTGAGCTAGAGTTGCTCTGACCCCGTAGAGGATAATACCTTGCAGTGCAATGGGAAACACTGCTTTCCTCAAAATTTCGTAAAATATAGCCATAGTTAATGTACCTTAAAAAACTTTTTTTATGAATATACGGCCTTTAATAACATTATTCCCGATAAGTACTCATGATAGTGTTTTGCAATAATTTATAATAAAGGCTTAAACTTTAGTGAACTGATAACCGCCGTTATTTCTTTTCACGGCGCTCAGCACACTTTGTTCTTCGCATCTGTAGACTGACTCCAAAAATAATTTACAACAGTACCTCTTAGCTTATTTTTTTTTTAAAAAAAAAAATATTATCTTAATTCCACGAGAATGTTAAGTATATAAACCTCTTAAATTTTCCTCTCTCCTGGTCTACTGCCTAAAAAGTCCAACTGTTATCTCTTTTAAGCTGCAGTAAAAAGTAAATAAAATATTTTAATTTTTTATGACCTCGACGATTAGTATAGTGAAAGTTTTTTGCAAACTTATTGGTTTTTCTCCTACATTAAAGAGTACTATTGAATATTTTTTAAACCTGCTTGAAACTCTATCGTTCAAGTTAACTTACTAAAATATTTATATTTATAGGAATTTTTACAAATATAAGGAAGTAGTCGTCACAATACAAGCTTGAACACATTTTTAACCTAGAAAACAAGTAATTACACCACGTCTCAATGCTTTTACTACTATATAAAGTTTGAGCTACAATATAAACGATGTATATTTTAAAGTAAAAAATCACTCTATTTTGCGTTCTTATAAAAGTTAAAAAAATTAATGGTAAGTATAAATTTAAAATAGTAAATAATTGCTCATAACAGGTTGACGGGCTTCTTTTATTAAATCACATTCTTATTTAAATATAATGTTAGTTGAGCCCCCTTTTTTTTTAAATGTATATATTACTGTTTTCATAGCTACTTCTCCTATGTATATAACCTCGACTATAAATATAACTTTTCCCACAGTTTACATCTGAAAATCAACAACTTCAAGCTTTTAAATTTTCTTTGAAAAAGGTGTTTAACTGGGAGTATATTTCTATTAGCTACGCTCCTAACACAAGTAAACGTGCTATTGCTAGACACGCGGCAGTAGAGGTTGTTACAAGCGTTGTTCAATTTTTCCTAACTGAAAGCAGCTTATAATTATTCAGTGTAAGTAAATGCAAGATCACCGTGACGGATAAACAGGAGATAAAACGCTATCAACGAAAATAAATCATATAATAGAATATAAAGAATTTCTCCAGTCCCAACTTTTCCAAGTAATAGGGGCCTATTTATATTGTTTGCGCTAATCGGCACAAGAACTTGAAATATACGAAACATAAGTTTTAGAGAAATACCAACAATGCCAAAATATAAGAGAGATCAAAAAAATGCCAAGGAGGGTCGAAGGCCGAGGTAGAACAGTATTAGTGGTTTCTTCTTCAGGTGGATGATAAACCATTAGGAATTAATTCAAAGATTTTAGGAGACTAAGCTGCACATTAAAAAATATATTTTATATAACGCATCACCAAAGAAAAAAACCTAATATCAACTTACCTACTTTTTGGTTTACTGCAAAACATTTTTAGATGGTCGCAACTTTAACAATAACAAAGTCAAGTAATTCCAATACATACACTCACACTTTACTTTTGCTGGGGCTCGATCGAATAAATAACTTCAATTATTCGAGCTCCCTACCAAGTGTAATCGGGAACTTTTTCCAATCGATGTTTCCAAACAATCGCTACTCTATTATAAAACGTCGAAACTGTTTAATTTATATAGTTTATACAAAAAAAATTTATATCTCTACCTTCTTATTATACAAAACTTTAAATTTAAAAGGAAGAATAGTACGTCAGTACTAAATGTCAGTGTCAAAATTTACTGTTACTTATACTCACTTGTAAAACTTAAAGTTTTATTAAGTCTCTCTTTACTAAAAAATGAAGTTAAAATTTATATAAATCTGCATACTGCTTAATACAGAATTTTTTATTGTTTCTCGCAGTTTTTAATTCAAGCTTAGCCCTTATAGAAATTCGCTAACTTTTTTTATTAATAATGTTTAACATTATTATATATATTTCAATTATTAAAAAGATATATTTGAAAAATATTAATTTATTTTTTTTATTAAATTAAATTTATATACCACAATTAATTGAACCTATCAAAAAGGTAAAGTAGTAAACTAAGTTATTGCCAAAAAAAGGGGATTAACTAAAATATAGAAAACTAACGATGTAGTAAGCAAGCACAAACTAAATAAGTCATTTAGTAAAAAAAAGCGTTATCAGTTTTTCGACACTTGTTAATGTGCTTTAGAAAAATTTGCTCAGCTTATTAAAATAATGAGAACGGCTGTAAGCATGTTGGTAGTTTAGTTTGGGGTTCTCTGATTACCAGTATTACTAATGTGGCAGCCTGGAAATGTTAGTATTTTGTTCACATTTAAAAGTCAAATAGGTTTACTTTCATGATGTAAGCCTTTATTATAGTTTTGTTAAGTAGAATAAAAAGTAAGAATGGTGCTACTTTCCTTATTAAAAATTAAGTACTGCATTATATATATTATCTCCATTAATTAGCTTATTATTTAAAAAACAATTGAACAAACTTGGTTTTGAGACAGTTTAACTTGATGCTTAAGTCCTGTAAAAGATTTTAATACCAAGTATTTCTTCGACTGATATAATATATAATTATTTGGATCTCCTTGTATAGAGGTGCTCCGCCCTTTAATAAAAAAAATTGTTGCGGGACCCACTAAGCCTTTTTTAAAAATTTCAAATATTTTCTATTCTCTTGAACTTAACTGCCAGTTTTCACAATGCGATTTTTTTATTGTAAAATATAGAATTAATCTTTTACGTTGTTTATAGTGTTAATTCTAGCTCCCTCCGCGCGTAGCCTTAAAGTTAAACTGTGTCGCCTATCACAAGGATGTTATATAAATGAGAGGAAACCTGGTTTATTGAATTTCTATGCAGCCGCACCCGAGAACAGCTTAGGGCGAGTGGAGTTGTTTACACATATATAAACTAAATAATCATTGCGTACTCATAAGCTTAAATTAGACATTTTGATTGGCCACTTCACTCATAATTCAAGTGTTTTAACTACCTAAACAGGAGAGAACATTGGCGGTGACAAAAACTTGAATGATATAAATGGTTAAGCAGCATCCAGTAAATTCGTTTCTTTAAAGTAGGGTTCCAAGTAAATAAAAGATAAAACCTTACTGCTTCTTGTAGAATATTTTATAAGAGCTAACCTTGGTTTTATTCACCTGCTGGCTCCGAAAACTTAAAATACAGTCTATGATGACCTTCCTTAAGTTTTATGATAGCTGAAATGTCGAAATTAAACGCAACTCTGAAAGGCGAGTACATTATGTATGACAAACAACTCAGTAACAAAAAAAAATTGGAAATAATTAAACACCTTCGTTACGTCTATTGTAACGCCTTGAATCAAGGTAGAGGATAATCATCTCAGTAAAAACTTTTAAATTGATATCACTTTTAGTTTTAAAATTCACTAATCTTAAAGAGTAAAGGTGGATTATATTTTAAAAAGATAAAAGAGAAGAAAGTGAAAGCATAACGAAAGTGCGCTTATGTCAGAGTTTATGGGCTATTGCATATAATGCAAAGAAACATGTAAATGATTAATTTACCTCTAATGGAAACATTAATTGCATTGATAATTAATTATAACCAAAGCATATAAAAATTTAAGTGTAGTAGTCACTATAACGAAGTAAAGATACTTTTACCTTTTACCAACAGATATACAATCTAATGAAAGGTTAATAACACGTAATAGTGCAGCTTGATAATCCTTAGAAAATGCTGCTGACCCTTACGCTTACGCGGGCGCATCCTACATACAAGAGACGAAACTGCTATAGATTATATTAAGAGATCATTAACTACTTATACCATACTTGAGGCTGACATCTAAATTTTTCTTTTTTAAACTGTCTAAATTATGAACTTGCTTTTTATTGCTAAATTATTGCCTTTTAGAGGGAGACCTTAATATAAGAAGAAGTGATAAGTCACTTGAAAAGTTATTCGCGTGGTCTATTAATGCTGTGCTAAAGGTAGCTCATTTGACTGGAGCTCGACAAGGCGCCATGGTCGGTGGTTACTTTAACAGCTCCCAATCTATAATGTTTGATTCCCCTCTTGATTAAAGTCAAAGTGAAGTGCATAATTACATTTCATATTATTTCTTTTAACGCAAAATAAAATTTTTAGAAATTTTATGCCGACCTGTAGCGTGCTGAGCTAAATCCAGCATGCGCCTCTTTTCTCCACTTTCACTACAGAAAAGCTTAATTTTTTGCAAATATACTTAAGTGGAAAAGGGATTGGCTAACAGCCGGTTTATATATTCATCAATAACGGCTTTATAAGGGCAATATTACCTGAAAACCAACTGGAGAGTACCATTTAGAAACTCCTTACTAACGTAGTGGTGGTCTTAGTAATAGCTGACGATGCATTTAATAAAAAAGACGTTGTATAAAGGGGCTAGTCTTTATATAAATGCTATGGTAAAATTATGGAAGGAAGATAGCATAAAGAGAAGCTCCAGAAATACTCAATTTATATGAATAAATTGTTCGATGATCAAATCGATACTATGATACCCCCAATTTAGGCCATATAAAATATGATTGGAAAAAAATATTTTTAGATAAAAAGGGTTAATACTAAGAAACTTTTGAGTAATTAAGCTATAGGTACTATAGAAGGTATAGCAATAAAGTTTTCAGGTCCGGATCTACTATTCTATTTCATTTAGCCTATATGGATTCGGCTACTACTATTTTCCTACAAAATGTTGAAAAGGAAATAACGTACTATCCAATGCACTCTTTTAACTAATATAACTAAATATTTGGCATATAGAAAAATACTGCAAAGGAAAGAATACTAGCATGCTCGCCTCTGGTTTTAGAAGGACTTGCGATTATAACTCACGTTATAATTCTTATGACCTTTCAGATCATTTATAAAATCGACACGACCTTTCAAATTACCAATTAAGGCCTATAAGATATAGTTGTTAGGTTCTAGTTTAATATAAAATAAAAACTATTAAAGTAATGGCAAAGGGTACGGGTATTTTTTAAAACGTCAGTTACTTGGAGTATTGCGACTCAAGTTATACTATTTACAGAAAAATATCTCCTCTCGTGACGCAAACCGACTTTGCTCAAAGTTGTAGAGGTAAACATTATTTATAACACATTTGAAAACTTAAACAAACGCTTCTTCATGCATGTCTTATAATCAAACTAGGAAACTCCCAGTAACTTGTATGCGGGAGACCAAGCGCTAGTTATGATAATCGTTACGATCCAAAGTAAACTACTCAAGCTTTTATATATAATGAAAGAAAGTCACATTATAAACTTTTTTACTTTGCATCTAACTTAATGAAATTAAAAAGAACTAAGTGTAGTGGCATTCCCACCAAAATGTACATGTTTCTTTGTAACAACTTAAAAAATTATTTATTAAGTACAAGAAAAATAATTTAATTAAAAATGGAGAATATTGTTCAATCACTGAGGAAAATAATATTAAACCAAGAGAATAATTTAGACGGGTGAAAATCTTAGAATACAGAGAAATCTGGAAGAATAACTGAAATAGAGAAAAACTTTTTATCTTTAATAAATATTTATAAAGAAATTACTTTATAATATATATTTTTACAATTTGTTTATTATCAAATATTTAATACATGATTTCCTTCCCCACTAATCACTTCACGAGGGCACATGTAATTTTATTATTGTAGAGAAGCTGCGGAGTAAGGAAATCGAGTGTTCCTTTTTGGTTTTTAATGGCAAAAAGGACTTTTGGTGAAGAATTAGACTCATATTCTGAATACAGTTATTTTTTGATAAATTTATGTTATAAAATAATCATTACTTCCAAAATTAATAAAAGATCTAAAGATTTTTGCTTGAAAATTGAATAACTTTTATTATTGCATTAATGTTTTTCACTATATTTTTAATTTAAACTTATTATTAAAATGTTAGTTACCCATATCTTAGTATATCTTTGTTGCGAGCTAATAATTAAATAAAAATTTTTATACCTCTCTGAGATATATAAATATTAATTTTATCAGAGGAAGAGGACAATTATAATCTTTTATTACCAAAAGCCGCCGAACTCGCCTTCGAAGATAATACAGCAAATTTAGAGAAGACAAGGTTTATTGAGTTTTTTTTGGAACTTAGTTAATTACTTATAAATTTTATATTCAGCTGTGACGATGAGTGTAGCCAATTTTTTGAACGTGATTTTGCAAGAATTGGTTCTTACTATTTTACATATTTCTTAAATAATAACTTTGCCACTTATCTACTGCTTTTGTACATCCTACCAAAATTTTATGACAACTATACTTCCAGCGCCTGTGTGCGACTCTGCCGATCGACCGATATGGCTTTCTCCTGATGGCAAAATTTATGTTGAAACCTTTTCGCCTCTTTATAAATCAGCGAAAGATTTTCTTATAGCTATCGCTGAACCGGTAGCTTTGGCTTTGATCTACACTTCAAGTCAACTATCTTTTTCCGATTAACAGGTGTGCCGCCCTACTTTTATACATGAATACAAGTTAACGCCGTATTCGTTGTATGCTGCGGCGAGTATTGGCCTTGAGACGGACGATATTCTAAAGTATTTAGAACAGCTTTCCAAAATTCCAATATCCGATCGAGTCAAGACGCTCATCCGCTCCGTCACTGACACGTACGGAAAAGTACGACTGGTGCTGAAGGGCAAGCGCTATTATATCGAGAGTTCCTACGTGCGTGAACTACAGCGGTTGCTACGTGAACCCGTCATTATTGATGCCAGAGTCGTGCATTCCACAGAGCCAGAAAAATTGGCTTTTGAGGTTGCTTGGGTTCCGTTAAGGGTAGCTTCGTTAACTATTAAGGCGTATTTAAAAAGAGTTAACGAATGTTTTTTTCCTGTTGGGTAATATCCTTTCCTAATTTTTTGTGCGGTTTTTAAGCAAAAAAGTTGTTACGTTATTAGCCACAGTCTGCCTTTTGGTTTAAAAAAGTTAATTTTAGATAAACTTGTGTAGGCCAAGTCGTTGTTTTCGCAGTGCATAAATATTTTCACTGTTTTGCAAACTTATATAAACTTTGTTAGGAATTGAACAAATTAGATTGCGATCAAAATATTAAAGTCAGGCCTGCTGTGGAGAATTGTATTTATAAAGTTTAAGTACATACTGCTAACTTATTAACTTTAAGCGAAAGCTCAGGTGCCTTTAAGGACAGTCCTTACTGAAGATGATGCTCTTGAAGAGGAAAACGAACAGCTTTTTTCTTTTGAAATTTTAAAAGAGAAGCTTGCAATTGTTAAACAAAAGTGTATTGAAATCGACATTCCTCTTGTCGAGGGTTATTAAATTGCATCTGCCTGCTTCCCTTGTAAAAACGATCGCTGCAGAGTACGATTTTAAGAACGACTTCAACACGCCAAGTCTTTCTTTAGATCTAAAGCCGACGACTGTTCTACGACCGTATCAAGAAGCGAGTTTGGCTAAGCTTTTCGGCAATGGCAGAAGCCGCAGTGGGATAATAGTACTCCCATGTGGGGCAGGTTGCTTGCGAGCTATTTCAAGAGCACTACTGTAAATAGCTAAAGCGGTAACCAGGAAAGACTCTCACTGGCGTCACCGTGGCTTGCACCATTAAAAAGAGCACGCTCGTCTTGTGCACCTCTGCAGTGGCTGTGGATCAGTGGGCCAGCCAGTTTCTTCTGTGGTCCCGTGTTAACCCGGTTGCTTTGTTAATTTTTTATGTTTGACATCACGGTAAATCCTAGCCGGTTAGAACAAAGTCATTAAGTTTATTTCAGGCGACCGCACTCAGGACCTGCCTTTTCCTTCTGTATGCATAACGACTTATCACATGCTCGCTAAGCAAGGTCTTATTAGCTAGAAGGGCCTTACTTTCTTTACTTCCCAGGTTTATAATAGGTGCTTAGCCTTTATACACCGATTTTAAAAAAGAGCTGTGAGCGTTAGAATAGTATTTTATAAAACTTATTTTGTCTCTTGTAGAAACAGAATACTCTAATAGTTTGTTTCGGTTTTTAGTAAGCAGATTTTTGGTTAGCTAGTTGTTAGCTCATGTTCTTAACTCCCAAGTTCTATTCTATAAAGCGCGGTAGTAGTGTTAACGGTTTCTTTGCTGCTTATGTAAAGGTGCCATCTCTTACGAACGACTGAAAATGATGAATTTTATAAGCAGCAACCAGTGGTTAGCTTTAACTAAAGTCTCCGTCCTTTTTTTGTTTGTGACGCGTTGCATTACACTTAGGGGGCTTCTTATCATGGACGAAGTGCACGTGGTACCCGCTGCGATGTTTCGGAAGGCCATGGAACGCATATCTTGTCACTGTAAGGTGGTGCTCTTCACGAAAAAGTATATGGGACTATTACTGTACGCAAGCACCTCGTTTTATAAAGGTGGGCCTTACCGCTACGCTTGTGCGTGAAGATGAAAAAACTACTGATCTAAATTACTTGATTGGCCCTAAGTTATATGAGGCCAACTGGTTGGAGCTGCAAAACAGCGGCTACATCGCTAAAGTCCAGGTACTTTCAACTCTTATGAACTGCGTCCGACCTCAAAACGTATAGGATGCTGGTATAAATAAAGTGCTCGGAGGTTTGGTGCCCCATGAGTCCCTGCTTTTTTGATGAGTATTTGAATCTCGCTAACAAGGAAAAACGCCTTTTACTTTGGACAATGGTTCAATTCGTTTGCCTCGTGGGAGGAGCATAATCTTTTATATGTTGTTTTTTCTGCAAGAATCCTAACAAGTATCGCGCTTGTGAGATTCTCATTAAACGTCACGAGCGTCTTGGCCACAAAATAATTGTTTTTAGCGACTGTGTTTTCGCGTTGGAACACTACGCTAAAACTTTTAAAGCTCCTTACATCTACGGAAAAACATCGCAGGTAAGTTTGTTATTAAGATTTACTGTTATACTCAAGAACAGTATGATATTGGTCTAGCTTGCATGCGAGAAAGTTAATGTAGTTACGTGCTAGTTAACTTTAATGTTGCGTAGTTATTTTAATTCTTCGCCTTCCGTTGTCATTTTAATAATTATATAGCGAGACAGAAAGCACATCCTAGACAGATTTATGACGCAACAGAACATCAGCACCCTTTTTTTATCAAAAATTGGTAAAAGCGTCTTCATTGTTCTTATATTTTTAAACTTTCTCTTGCTTTGTTGCATACATAAGGCGATAACTCTATCGACTTGCCAGATGCCAACGTACTAATACAAATTTCCTCGCACTTCGGAGCACGTCGTCAGGAAGCACAGCGCTTGGGTTTCTTGATATTTATTATGTTACGCGTATTTTTTGCTTATTATGGTCGTGATGATTCTGCTGATCAGGAAGAATCTTGCGGAAAGGTAGAAAGAAGACGTGCGAATTCAGTGAATATAACGCTTTTTTCTATGATATTGTCTCATGCGACACACGCGAAATGTATTACGCTTCTAAAAGGCAGCAGTTTCTTGTAGATCAGGGTGCTCTTATTTTTTATATAATTTAACCACCATAAAATTTTTACATTATTTTTTATAAAAGGCTATGCATTTCAAATTATTACAAAATTGGAAGGGATGGACGATCCTGAGTTGTTATTCTCTTCTGAAGAAGATCAGTTACGACTGCTTGAAATTGTCCTGGCAGCCAAGGACGAGGATGCTCTGGAAGAGCTCGGTGATAACGATGACTTTATTACAGACAGGTTGAAATTTTCTTTTAAAAATCTTTTCGCGGCTTTTTAAAATGTTCCGTTAAGCACAATCTTTAAGAAAAAAAGTAAACTGTCCAGCTACAGCGGGGCTTCTGGCCAGTACGGTGAAAGGAAAAGCGGTGGAACTTCCCTGCTGAAAAGGCTTCAACGAAAATACAAGCCTTAACGGCTTCGGATTTTAATTTTTTATGTGTAGTAATTTATGAGTCGCTATGGCGGCCAAATAATAAAGTTAATAAGTTTATTAAGTTACAAACTTTCATTGTTTACTGGAATATATCTCATTATTTATCAACTCGCACTGCCGTAAACTGCTAATTTACTTTCGTATGAAACGCTTGAAAAGGCTCCACTGTGCTTGAAGAGACAAAAGTATTAGCCTAAAATTCTTATAAAGTAGGAATCAATTATCTGAATAGGAGGCTTGATTTATGTCGGTATACTGTGAACATTACTTTTTAAAACGTTTAAAGTTCACTAACCTGCCGCCACCACTGAATCGTGTAGTTCCTTACCTTTTGCTTTTGCAAGACCATAAATTTGCGATAAAGCTTGACTTCTTCTTCTTCTAGAAAAATTTCGAGCTTTGTTTTAGCTTCAGTAGGGCTCGCTCTAATAAAAGTTTGATTTCTTAAAAGCCATTTCCTTTTGAGCTCTACTTAACAATACGAAAATTTGTTCACAATAAAGTTTTCAAGGTCCATTAGCTATACCTTGAAGCTCGGCAGTGATTTTAAAAAACTTATAATTATTGTCTTGCCAAAAGAGGTGGTGGAAGTTTTGCAGTCGAGAAAGCTGCTCACGGTATAACTTTTCCTTTGATATATTATTAAAAAAACTTACCGTTAATATAGTGTTAACAGTTATCTATATTAATTATTATTATAAAATGGTTTTACAAAATAGTTTTACTTCCTTTGACTCATTTGGGGTAGAAAATAAAGTTAACTTGCGGACTCCAGAGATTTCATCTGGGGATGATAGAAAACCGCACCAGAAGGCCATCGCCAAACGAGCAAAGTTAGTATTTACTTCAAAGTCCTACTAAAGGCTTCCGCTGTAACGGGTGGACGTCGAAACTTCGAAGTTTATCGTACAAACCAGATAGTGCGACCCCCTTTTCTTGTACACCTTTGCAAACCGTATTGATCCCCGTTACGAAGCCGCGTCTATCATGACTGTTATATTTATTGCTACACCGTCGCCTCTTACTCAGAAACATTTCATTTTTAAAAGACTTGCCTAGCTACACAGAAAGTTAGCTCTGACCAAAAAAATTATACGTAAACTGTATTTATTGAGGATAACATATAGATTATATATTTTTTTAACAAGTCATTACGTTATAATTAGGTTGATCATAACAAATAGTTTGTTTTACCTTACGGCTTTTAAATTGAGTGTTTAAGTTCAAGTGTTTATATGCAGAACCTACTTTTTATCGGTAATTTAACACGTTTAAAAATTAAGCAATAGCATTATATAACGTATAGCAGGAGATTTGGCTTGTAGTAAACTTTTTTATGCAACTGTTGTTATTATTAGCAGTTTATATGGTTTTCCCTAAAATTCTATTTGTAGTTAAAATAATTTCAAAATTATTTTAATAAGTCGTGCAATCAAGAAAACAATAAACTAACGGTTGGATAAATTTTTATTTAAACTTTATCTAATATTTAGCTTTTAACACATTTCTTTTAGGTTTCAATAAATATATATATAAGAACGCATACATTTTTGATAACTCAAAGACTATTTGAACGGTGTGAGAGGTTATAAACTATTAAAATTATAATAATAATGAAGAGCCATATAGTACAAGGGACGTAAAACTTTTTTTTTTAGTTAAAAAAAGGATAAGTTTGTTATTTATTTAGATAAATTTGAAGCAGCAACTGCTAAGAAAGACTAACTTAATGAAATAGTTTTTCCAAAACAAATAAATATAACTGGAAGAGAAGTGATTTCCTTAGTCCCTACTTTTTTCGCAACCAACTGAGCTGTACGTTTCTTCATAGTTGCGTAGCTTTAGCTACAAGTTATACTGAACGGTAATGTCACTAACTCCATATCGACTTCGGTAGGTAAAGTTGTAAAGTATACCATTTTCCATGGTACAATTCCATAATACGTTATATTTTAACTTGCTTTATACTTATTGTTTATACTTATTGTGCATATACCTTCTGTTTGTCCTCTCTAAAGCACCCTTACAAAATTTTGTTGCCTCCAGTATAATAAGCAAAATGTGAGGTTGAAAAGAGTTTATAAAAGTCATAATTTATGAGTATTGACCATTAAAGCGAAGTCTCCATTATTATGAAGAAAGGGACAAGAATATATCTTATGGAACAATGGAGAAATTTCTAACTTTCTGCTTCTTAAGTATGACTGAGATAGACATGAAACACTCGAGTCAATGGAATTATGCGAGGAAGCTAAGCTCTTTTTTATGTATTAAGTTTATTAAGATGGCTCAACGATAATGTACTGAAGACAGAAATTTCGCGTAAAATTTTTTCTTTCGCAGTGTGTGGTGTGCTGCAACCCATTTACGACCAAAAATCAATTTTTCGGCAACTTATAAAAGTAAAAATAGAAATGACTTTACACCCAAAACCCAGGTTGTTTGTAAATGCAAAAGTCGTGAAAACTTTAGCACAAATATTGACTTTTAAACTAATAAAAAAAATTTTAATTTAAATTACTTTCGTTTAGTATTAATGAAAAGTATATTACTTTACTTCGAGGAACTTTCTTTTAGCGAGAAAGAAGTGTCTCCTAGTCATAAAAGCGGTTCCTTAAAGAACTTCTTTTTGTACGCCTATTGTTAGCCTATACGTTATGACTGTATCATACAGACTTTATTTTATCGAAAATTTAGTAAAAGAAATAAAAACAAGATAAACGTATTGATTGAAAATTATCGGGATGTAAACTTAAACAAAAAGATGCCAGGTAATTGCCATTGTCTCTACCCATAATTGGAAAGAATAACTTCTTAAATAACAGTAGTTATTTCAGGCAAAAGTTTTAAAAGAGCTTCCCAGTTCACTTCGAACCGTGGTAGGTAAAAATTATCGTTTAAGACTACGAAATGGAGGTCCCTACTCTACAGCTTAACAGTATAATATTTAAAATTAGTCGAGATACCGTTACACACCAACTTGTATACTACGGGCAAAAGGTGAATAGAGCGCTTCAGGATTTTAGCAACAGCTGTTAATTCGCCCATAGTTAAGCAACAGTTTTCAGGAATATCTTACTCCTGCTAACGCTATAAGCATACTTGAAGAGTAGAAGCTCGGCGTTGACGAGACAATATAATTTTATTACAAACTCCATAAACAAAAGAAATACAAATTAATATTTCTTAATTTAAGGCGAAATTTTTGTCTCGCTTTGGAATTGAAGGCAAAATATTAATATTTTAGATATATCATTGAAGTTTAAAGAATTTATCTAAAGTACTGGTTTAAATATAAAAAAAATCCGAGTGCTTCCTTATTTAAAGCGTAAAAAATGCGTTAGTTGATTATATTGAGTATTTTTACTATAAATCAATTAGAGATATTAATGTGAGCCCAAACCAGTTTTGTTATTAAATACAAAAATTATTTATAATATTGAATTATTCCGACCAACTAAACTACCGGTAAAGAAACAGAAAATATGTTGTATAAGGGTTTTCGAAGAAAACGTTAAAAATATTATTTGGGACTCCAAGTATATTTTGTTAATGCCTTTTCGTTTGCTGGTCGGGACGTGTAGTGGTATCAAATTTCTCTGTATATCGTATATTGTGTAATAAATTTATAAATATTAATTTTAACTTGTTTACATGTATGCTCATATTTATATTTACGCTTTTTACGGCCACTAACTATAACAGTGCCATTTTAGGAAATATTATGAGAAATTACTATTAACCTTAACATATCTGTTTCTTAGTCCGTGACTAAAGTATAGAATACAATTACCGTTAATTACCTTTATTTTATTCACTATTATAGTTTTTTATAATGTGATCCACAATGACGAACATGATGGATAATAAATTGAAGCTTGCTCGATATAAAAATCAGTTTAAAGGGCCTTCTTTTTGATTTCTTATAAATGGGGATTATTAATTGAACCTTACGCCTATACAAAAAAAAATTAATTCCTTACTTATATAAGTAAAAGTGACAATTCCACAAAGATGCATGGTTTCATTATTTATTATGGTGTTTATGAAACGCTACTTCTTTCATTTCCTCGTATAATTGAATATTAAAAATAGTTCTAATGATATGTGTGAACAGATCTCTCATTTGGTCATTGTTTTCACGAATGAATTTGAGTAATATTACGAAACAGCTAGGTCAAATAAGTTTTTGGATGTTGCTTACAAATTCTGCAATAACTAAAATGTAAAAATAAAAAAAGCTTTGCAATATCTCCTCAAAGGGGATAAGGGTATCTTTACGATTCGACTAACTTTATGCAATATAGGTTTCATGCAACGAGTAGGTATCAGTATCCCTTTGAAGATAGTATGACTTTGCTAAAAAGATAATATTTTAACTAATTATAATAAAGATAAATTTGTTAAGTATTAAACAAGTAAATAAAGGACAGGAGGAAACAGAACTAGCATTATAGAATAGAACAGAGTCTTAAAGCAGAAAAAAAATACCCAAATCCCGAACTATAAAGAAAAATGAATTAAACTTGAGCTAACCCTAGGGTGTGGGAAAAGGTAGTATGTACTTATACAGGAGAGGATTACGTAAATTGGCAAGGACACATATAGAAGAATTATAAGATTGCGGTTAAAAGGACGTAGCTGGAGTACTGCATCGTCGGTTGTGGATAATAACCCCGAGCACTAGGGAATTACCGACTTGTTCAAGGACAGCACCAGCGTAATTTATCTATTTTTAATTTTACATTTTTGTGTTTTTACAACTTTTGTCTAAATCAATACTCTTACTATATATAATTAATCAGAATTTATAATTGCGAAAGGTAACTGCACAACCATATCAAATTTCAATTTATTTACCACAGAATTTCAAGATTAAAAAAAATTGTCTCTTATTAAGGTTTTTAATAAACTTATAAGTTTATTAAGGTAGAACTAAAGAATTTACCTTTCTATATCCAAAATTAAATATTTTTTGAAATTACACAAAATAAACATTGTATTTGCATTTATTTAATAATTAAGCTTTATATTTTTTAAAATCCCTTAAAGCTGAACTAAATAAAAATTTGGTTGATACTTATATACACTAGTTAATAATACTATTAGTTACAACGTATACTACCTCATACCCGTTCGGATACATAGCAGCACACACCATAACTCAAAGAGCGAGGGTTATATATCAGTCCAGTTTTATTTAGCCAAACTAATTGTTTAACCTCACCAACGGCCCAGGAAGTGGCAACAGTGTTATTATCGTTACTAGTTGTTATTCTTATAACCAAGAGCTTTCGGACGCACTTAGTAGCTAAAGGAGCAGTTTCTAATGTAATTCAGTCAGTTTCGCTAATAAGGCAAAGGTCTAACTGGAGCTGCTTGTTCGCTTCTAAGATGAACTATTACACAGGCAACGCTAGTATACAACGCATAAGCTCTTTTACTTTAGCAAGGTCAATATGAGCAAGCACTTTTTAAAGCAACAAGAATAATGCAAAAAGGACTACGTAATTTTCCTGACTCGTAGCCAACTTTAGCTCGAGAGTATGACTTTAACCTTTTGAATACAGGGAAGATAGCACCTGCCTCTAAATCCTAGCCGCTGACGCCTTTTTAAAATTTGTAAGAGCAGCTCTTTCGACCAGAGGATTATCAAGTCATATTGCAGACACCTCATGTAACTCTTCGAAGTAACATTATACTCCCTTTTCAGAACTTTTTTCAGGAGGGTACCATAATCACGAGAGGAAGGTTGTTTGATCATTCCTTTGTCAAATTTAGCAGCATTAGCTTAGAATCCATTTATAGCCTTTTTGATAGGGGTGACATGACCCGATCAAAGATAAGTCTACTTTAG